AAAAAATCCTCCCTGCGCACACAAACATGCTACGATTCGCGGCCTGTCGGTAGAGTGTTCGTTCTGTGCTTCTTGGATCAGTGTGAAGATAGAAGTAGATGAACTTGCAGACTACACCCAGGTTATATGGAAGAAGGAAGAAGCAGTGGCCCAACCCCACAAGCCCTGAACGGCGAGCTTTTAGAACAGCTGCTGCGAGATACCGCCTGCAGGGACATCGTGGCATCCCGTTTGGGATGCCAAACAGCCGGTCAGGCGTTGCCGGTTCAAGGCTGTCGACGGATTATTGAAGGTTTAGTTCTTCAGTGCTTAGGGCTTCGGGCTTCAAGAGAGTATAGACAGGGGTTTAGAGTTTGCATGCTCAGGTTCAGGTTACGGATTTAGGGTCTGGGCTGCTGTTTGCGCGATTGAAACTCAAATCCTAGTCCTCCTCCCTCAATTCCAAAAACCTTGCACGTGTGGTGGCCTTGACTCTTCGGAGGCAAGGGTCTGCCTCCGCCCTTCATCCGATAGAGGTTCAAAAAACTCACTTTTGTTAACATAGACACCCAAATCCACCCATCCATCCATCCTAAACCCTAAGCCCTAAAACCCGAAACCCTAAACAGCGAGCCAGCCACTGCCTGGCATCCTACAGAGCCTTTCAAACACAAAAATCCCGGAACCCCCAAAACCCAACTGCTTAGGGTTTATTTTGAGGAACCGCTATGAAGGCAGCAGAACTTGCAGAGCCATTGCGGCCGCCTGTGTAGCAAACCTTCTAGAACCCCTAAAGTAGACCTTGAAGTAGCCCTTCTAGAACCTCTTGCAGAACCCTTGTAGTAGCAGCCCTTCGAGACCCCATGGTGCAACCTTTATAGTCGCCCTTAGAGAACCGCCTAATATTGGGTGAATACTTACCAAAAGGATTTTTGGGTTTCCTTGTCATAAATATAGTATGATGGGCCCCAAAAGCCTATTCTAATCATTTCGGCCCCTATGTAAATCCCTATTCCAATTATTAAGGCCCCTATGTTACTCCTTACTCTAATTTTGAAGGCCCCCATATTACAGACCCTTGTAGTTTCGCCCGTGATCCAGCACCGCACGGCTGTGGAAGCTCACGAGGATCTCTTTGAGCGCACCCGGGAGCAAAAAAAGAAACAAGCCACAAGGCTCGCAATTCTTGGTTCAGGGTTTAGGGTTTCGGGGTTTAGGGCTTAGGGTTTCGGGGTTTAGGGCTATAGGGTTTAGGGTTTCGGGGTTTAGGGTTTTGGGGTTTAGGGTGCCGCGAGGCTCGCAATTCTGTTTACTGTTTAAAGTTTCGGGGTTTAGGGTTTGGGGTTTAGGGTGCCGCGAGGCTCGCAATTCTTGGTTTCGGGTTTAGGCTACGTCTACGTCTGTAGGGGCCTACTGTACTAACAGGTGAAAGTAACACATGCGAGCTTGTTCGGAACCGGCCGGCCACTACTAGAGGTATTGCTAGTTGAAAACTGGGAAGAATAAGCTACAGCAAGAATAAGGAGAGGAAGGCTGCTATAACAGGACTAGGTGCCGCAAGGCTAATCAGTATTCTGAGGTGGGGCCTCAAAGGGCTCAGGGCTTAGGGCTTTACGACGTACGGTTCAGAGTTCGGGGTATTATAATGCAGGATAGGACTTACTCCTGGGAAGAGCAGCAGCTAGCCTGCTCGGGGTTTCTCTAACCCCAAACTCTAAGGACCGAAACCCTAAAACCCTAAACCCTAATCCCTAAACCTTAAACCCTAAACCCTAATCCCTAAACCCTGAACCCTACTTTGATGCTTAGAGACCAGGGACTGACCAACGGTTGTAGGGATCACGGTTTAGGATTCTGGAGGTTATGGCTTTTTTGGGTCGAGGGCCTTCCTGTGGCTGGGATCATTAATTGCAAGGCTCATGTTTTGGAAAATATTATACTCTACAACAGGTCCATACATATATAAATATATATATATATATACATATATATATATATATACATACTTACATACTACTACTAATATGGAGTTAGGCCCCCAAAACCAACCTAGGGATGGCCTTCTGGGGCCGAATTCCAAGAAGGTAATGTACATGGACCCTCTAGGTATAATAAAGAACCACCAACACAGTATAGGTAAATATTCAGGCCCCTATATTATACTAGTTATACTCTATGTCAAAGGGATTCTACCCTGCTGCATGGTAGGGTTTGGCTACAAGTAGGGATTGTGATATGAAGACTAGTTGAGATTTCGTGTTTGCAGCTTGTAAGACGCGGCAGATTCAGAAGCTACCCCGTTTCAGCCGATAGCGAAGCAAGTAAACAACGAACTTGCTTGTCAGGGCTGTAGACGGCTACGTCATCCCGGGCAATGATCATCGTGTTGAAGGTTAAGGGTTTAGGATATAGGAGCCAGCAGTTAGTCACTGCCTTAAAACGATACAGGCACGTCTCAAGATCAAGGTCCCACGACCCTAAACCATAAACGAAGTCTTCTCGAAAGGTTTATCAACTCTAAACCGCAAAACCATAGCCCGAAAGGGACCTCCCACTGTGAGAAATCCTGAAAAGGCATACGGGCTTCGCCCAGACTGTGACTGTCAAGCAGCAGCAATTTCCGAAACCGGGTCATCGGCGCTCCAAGCAGGCTTGTGTTGGGTTAGGGCTCCCGATTTAGATCTTGGAGTCGGGTTGAGGGTTTAGGGCTGAAGGGTGAGTTTTTGGGTCGGGCCGCAGCGTTTACGATTGCGGTGGGAGCCAAGGGGTTCCTGTTCCACTCACAGTGCCTTGTATTCAAGGGGTTGGGGTTTTGAGGTTTGGGGTTTAGGGTTTAGGGTTTTAGGGTTTAGGGTTTAGGATCTGCACGTGTTCTGCCTCGACGCTCGTGCTAATAACCCTTGAGCGAAGATGTGAGAAGAACATGGGCACATTTATGAAGTTCTTTGCTGACAGGCCTATTGAAATATTGCAGAAGCAATCCAGGCAGATGCTCCGCAACACATGGAGCTTGGACGCGAAGCTCCAAACCTAAAAACGGAGCAAGCCTCTAAGTTTGGACCCTTCGTACAACTTCCGACATATCCTGCACCCCTACACTCAAAGAGAATGTGGAGTCGCAGGAACGTCTTGGTGGATGGTTTGGGGTTTCAAGGATCACTTGTCCATATACATTGACGGACACTGTAGAGGGAGGAAGGATACAGCCTAAACTTAAACCCTAAACCCTAAACTGATACAGGTCCCATTGTCCGAGTCGTTTATAGACGTTTCGGAGAGCTGAAAGCAACATGCAGCTGCAGCTACTCGCAATTCTGCATGCAAGGCGCGCTTTTCGCATTCCCTGCGGCCCTGCCTTCGAAACAGGACTACGACGTATGGCCGACATGAACGGACCATGGGAACACTGGGTGTAGGGCCTTCAGGAACGAACAATGCTAGGATTGAGCTCTAAATTACCCCCTAGCCCGAACCCTAAACCTTTAACCCGACGCTCCTGAACTACAAACCTTAAATTGTCCAAACTCTGAATTTCAGGTCGAACATCAAGTAAAGCGGATGATGATCAGAACAAGAACAGTGAAAAAGGTCACGCACAGACCTACAGCGACAACGCGGAAAGAACTGCTGAGAAACACAGATCGGCTCCCATTCGTCAAGGAGATGCTGAAATGATCCTAATGTAGGGGCCTTGATAATCAGAATAGGGTTTTGGATTATCTTGTACTACAACTATAATGGGGAATCCACCCACATGATATATATATATATATATATACACATATATATATATATAGGTACTTAT